ATCACTGTCATATTTCCCACAGATACTGGCTTCATCTGCAGTTTATTTCTGTTTCTGAAGCCTTACTACTGTAGCAATGAGAAAGACATTATCTGTGCCTTCATGCAGAATATTCAGTGTAACAGATTATGTTATGTGAGATTGCATCTTCTTTATACCGTTAAGGAGGTGGCTTAGGTGTGATTTTGGATCTGTGGGTCCTTACCCTGGCACCTCTGATATTCTTGCATTTTCCTACTTAACTACAGGGCTATAAAAATAAAGCTGTGGTTACAGAACTTAGTACTTCTGCTCTCCTGGATCTGAGAAAGAGAGTATCTGGAAGCTACTGGAGTTAATCCCATCTCTTAATACCATGGGGTTAGAGGGAAATTCAGAACCCAGTGCTTGCAGGGCTCTGATATACCACTGACTCAGCATCAGCACTGACTTCTTCCAAATTCCTATTTTATTTCTATTTTATATCCCCTCCCACAGATACTACTGTAGAGAAATCTGGAATGGGATAATACTAGCCCAGGAGGGATGTACAGGTTAGATGGCCAGTACACTCTGTTCCATAGCTCTGAATAACGTAAGAAAAATAATGAATGACGGTTGAGAATGATCCGGCTGAGCAATAGCCTGGCTGCCTCCCTGGTGCCAGGCCCTTTTTCCCTTTGCATACAACGCATGGGCATCGTGCTGCCGTAGGCACCATCTCATGGTGCCTGCTTAGCACAGAGCAGGCCAGTTCCCATGGGAACTGAAAGGCATCTCCTTAAAAATCTTGTCCTTGTTTGGAAAGTGTTTCCTCCTTTGGGAGCTTGGAAGGATTGATCCAAGCTTCACTGAAGCTGGGCCCGTATCTAATCATTTAATTGATTTTGTGCAAACATTTGCAACATAAGAGGAAATCTCTTACCATTGCTGTGTGCCAACAGGTAGTTTTAGGTTGAGCCTGCCAACAGGGCTGCAGATACTATTTCGTCCCTGCTACACTAATGCTGGGTGTGATTGCTCCTGCACCCTGATAACCATTCCCGTGCTGGAGGTGGTTGCAACGGCAGTGCAAAAGTCAAAGGCTGATCCTTGCAATTTCTCTCGGTTGGTATCAACAGGTTGGTCTCAGCATTTTACTAAGTGCCAAAAAAAAGAGGAAGAAATGGCTGACACAGCAGTGGCATGCTGCAGCTGGCTGGGGCGGTGCTTGCCCACTGTTGGCTAAGCAAAGCTTTCCTGGGGGATTACCCTGGCAGACAAGTTTGTTTCTTGCAGACGAAAGCAGTGCAACAGATTCCTGTGTGATCCTTCACTCAATCCAGGCAAAGATCTTCGAAAGCTTTGAAAGACGTGGATATTGCAAAAGAAAGGCAGATGTGGGATGTGCGGCCCGTTATTCTGTTAGTAATTGATATGTGACTAGATCTATTGAGTTCAGTGGAACTACAGACACCCACACCATGGGCCCACAGGAGTAAATATTGGTAGATCAGCCTCGGAGCCTGCAGAATCACTGAGATTAGCAAAACAAACCAATGGAGCAGTATCTTCTAACCTTTGGTCTCATTACGCTTAAGCAATCCTCCGAGCACTAGGGGCAGTCTGTTTTGAAAGCAGGAAGATGAGCACTACTGGGTAAACCCAAGGATGCAGCTGGAGTAAAGCAAAGTAATGCCAGTGGATCTGCCCTGTGTGTAGCGGAGTTCCTAGCTGATTACATGGAGCTAACAAATAATTAAGATGGCTGTAATTAATGCAGTGGGGTAACTGGAGCTTCATAGCTGCTCTGTCACATCAGGTCACACCAGTCCAGAAACGTGATAACCTTTGTCACTTAGCTGTGAATAGCTGATGCTTCACTGCTTTGCTTATCATCCATGGAAGAAATAGCATTTTAGGGTAAAAATCCAGGGCTGCATTGCTCCATCGGCATAAAATAACACAAGATACCTGCCAGGTAGTGAAAGTGTCCTGAGCTGTCCTCATATCCAGGAGAGCAGAGTATGAAGGTGACAGGCTTCTCTGAAGCTCACATCTGGAACCAGTCTGTCCCTACTTTGGTAGCCAAAGTCTTATCTGCAGGTTCTTGGTGTCCAACACAGGGAGTAAATACACAGCAGTGTTGTTCACAAGTGTAGCTGCTTAGTGTACTTACCCGAGGTGTGCTTTCAGTTCAAATTCCTGACACTTCTTTGCTTCCCGTCTGTTTACAGAGAGCCTGGGACTATGTTCTGAAATGCAAAACGAACATGAGACCACACCGGGGCTTTGTGAAACAGCTCTCAGACTGGGAGAGCCAAATCTACGGGACCACGATCACAGACGTCTCTGAGCCAAGTTACTGACAGGTAGCAAAGAGAACACCCAGTGGGGAAAGCTGCTTCCCTGTCCGTACCACCGTGTCTGTAGAAAGTTACTTGAGCTCTGTTTGAAAAAAAACCCTCAACGCAGCAGAAGGGCTTTCATCTTTAGCTCCATGTTACTTGAAGCCACATTTTGGAGCCATTAGGAGAAGTCACCTGTGCTGTAGCAAGTGGCAGTTTGGGGAAAGCAAGTCCTGCAGGATGTAGCCCATTACATACCGCTTGTGTCTTTTGTGAGCAAAGGGGATTATAACCACATTATGGGGTATGCTCCTTACCCCGGGTACAGGGAAGTCACTAGGGTTTTCCCTGAAAAGGTTCGTTGGTTCAGAGCCTGGGATGGTAAATTTAGAGTTTGACTGCGCCCGCTTCCGGCCTGGAGAGGTGACAACAGAATTTCCCTGTTTCAGAAGTCCCTCCACCCTGCGTGTGCCTTCTCAGCTGCCCGCAGACACGGATGTGGCCTCTCACAGACTCGCTGGTTGGATCGGCTGGCAAGACCACGCTTCCCACTTGCCTCTTTCTAACACAACAGCTGAACCCCTCAGTGCAGCCGGTGGTTTTGAAGCATCAATCCTGTTACGTGAAACCTGAACCCGGTGCTGTCCTCTCTCTTACCTCACTGTGAATGCTTTGCATTGACATCACAAAACATTACAGAAAACACTCCTGGGCTTTCCTTGCACTCTGTGCTAAGGATTTACCAGGGTTTTTTAGTTTTAAATCATTCCCCTCGGTTTGTAATTCAAATATGTGGGATCAGGGACAGAGCTTTACCGTTCTGTTGGTGAATTTACACCAAGAGCCGCCTCAGCTGACAGCAGACCGGCCCTTTTAGCTTCTGAGAGCCCTGTGCGCCCGGGAAAGCGCTGTGTTGGGGGGG